CTCCCACACGTTTTGAATTTCCGTGAACCGAGGACTCGTCTTGAAGCTGTTCGCAAGCAAAAGCCCGAACCTAACCATAAGCCCTTCAAAGTCTGACTTCCCATCTCAGTCTCGAAATGCATAGACTGGTATCATATACCTTGAGTGTACAGTAATTGCAGTGGTATCACATAGCTTGGTTATACGGTATTGCTGTAGCTCAATAACCAATCACTATGTTACAGAAAACATCAGTGATACTGGTGGATATAATTGCAGGTTACGGTATGACCAAAATGTTCGTTCCTGATTAATTTGTAACTGATGACGAAAAAAGTGCTTTTTCTTGAGAAGCGAGTGAATTCATGCAGTATGTAAACTCGTGCTTATTGAGCAGACTACCTCAAAAACTTCTCATGAACAACAAGCGAGCAACACAGTTCACGTAGGGACATGCGTCATTGGTGGAGACTGGGAGGACGTCGGGTCCAGTCGAGGTTCGTGACCCTTTAATGTTTTATGTTATCAGTCGGATTGCAATATTTCACGATTTGATTACGTTTCATTGTGGAAATAGCGAAAATGTTGGAAGGAGGAGATGAATAACATAGGATGAAATGACGGCAAAATTTTTGGGGACCATTTTTGTCAATAACTTCAGCATCTTATAGACTAAGAGCATCCATGGCACGGTGGCATGCGTCTCTGGCAGAGGCGAGGAGGACGTCGGGTCCAGTTGGCGTTCGTGTCCTTTTAACGTTTTATGATTTTTCAGCAAATTTCTTGCTATATCTTCTTATATGTTGTAGGGTCCTCAATTGAATTAGTCGTTTATTTAAAACTCATTGAGTGAATCACCATAATTCAACTCAACAGTTCGATACCGAATTTGGTTGTGTTGTGTTTGTTGCCAATTGAGTTGGCGACTGATGTGGACGACGAGACAACAAAAAAGCTTTACTCAAAAAACTCAGATACGATAGAGAACCGCTTGTGGTTCTCGAACTCAACATCGAGACAAGACACCAATGACATGTCTCACTTATATAGACTTCTTATATGCAAATTCCTATATGTAAGTTACATAGTTATTAGTTATTAGTGAAACGTGGGCAACCACAAGAGTCGCAGAAGAAAATAGCGTCTGGACCCGCTATTTCTTCACACTGATTCCGTGTATCTTCAAATAGTGTCTCTACAAGAACCTTTTCTCCATCTCTGGTGCAGTGCCTCTCCAAGCACTCACTTTCTCTCTCTTTATCAGTGCTCCTTTCTAAGGGACCGATATTCAATTTTTTCTTGGTTTTTCTTTATCAGTACAGTGCCGCCCCAAGCACTTTTCTCGATATTCAGTAATCTGTAAAGCCTATACGGCTCCGTTGCACACTACTGAATTGCTATCGCTTGCCCCCACGAGCATGATCCACGGGCACGATCCACGGCACGATCCATGCGAAATGTTGAATACTGATCGCCAGTTGTTGCATGGTCCACAATTGAATTATTCGTTTATTAAAACCAATTAGCAGACGAACCACGATACCATGAAAAATAACATAGAATGATTTCTAATACAAAACGCTCTGCTTACATACAGTTGCTGTTTGTATACCGATCAAACATTTAGATCAATTACAATGAATATCACAATTCATATTACCCACTGATACTTGATCATGTAGACAATATCATAACACATTGCTACTGAGAACATTTTCGTGAATATTCTTTTGATTGTCAGTTTGTTTGTGTAAGTCATAACCTAGCTACTCCGCTGCATCACAAAAACCCTTGCTAGGGGTCTTTTGTGATAGAGCGTACTCGATTTGTTAGGGATGTTCTTATCGATGACACTTTAAGCCAAACCGTTTCTCCAAAATTTCTGCAAATAATCGCTTAACTGGGAAGATCGATTACCCGAACCACTGAAGCAACATGGAGTCTTTTTTGTCGGTCAAGGCTTCCCATCAGATTTGTATCACCACGACTAATAATTCCAAAATTGAGTGAAAGCAACACACAACTTCACCGTTTCGTTGATACCCCTAAAAAGCCTCATTTACATTCGCAGTTACAGAGACGATCATGATTCCGAAGCAGCTGCTTCATTTGATTGTGCTAAATATTGTCTTGATCTTATCAAATCGATTACGTTTTCCGAATTATAGCTATTAGCAGCATTCACTGAAGCTAAATTATTACAATGAGTACTGAATGAACCCCACATAGAATCCTCACGAAGGTTCTTATGGACTGATTCAAAGTGTAATCTATGATGGACGAAAACCGATCCTTAAAAACAGTCATGTTTTTACAAGAATCGTACTGAAACAGTCCAACAAATTGAAGACTTCGAAATACGATGTGTCCCGTTCCAAGATAACCCAGCAGGTATAGCAAATCGGGGCTTAACTCCTTCCGAACTAGAAACATCAGCTTTGTGGTGATCAGTGCCAAAATGATTAAGTCAAAAGGAATCATCTAGCCAAAAGGTGAGTATTGCGATAACGAATGTATATTAATATCACAATTTATGTAACGAAAATACAAAATAATATGTCAATGATATAAATTTAATATTTGGTAACATATCATGAGAATACAAAAAATACAATAGGTCAATCAATAAGATAGTATCGAAATTTAACGTTTGGTAACGACGAGAAACACAGACAATGTCCCAAAACCACAACATTTACAGCCCAAATATTCAACGCCCAGTCACAAACTCACTTCATCAACACCAAACCCTTCAGCAACTGGATCAAATATGTCGAATCACAGCTCACACTCTCCGATTCATCAACAAGCTCGCTCCCACTTGTGTTTCATGGTTGTCCACTAGATCTTTTTCCGACAACTCATTTACAGCGAACGATCTTGCATTAGCAGAAACTGTTCTAATCCGTTAAGCACAAAAAGACATTGTTAAAAGTGATATTCAAAAATGGGAATTACATCTCGATGAACAGTGAATGTGGCCAAGTGGTGGACGTTTGCCATCGAGTCTTTTTTTATGCCCCGGAAGTGTTTGAAAACTCGATTATTAATAATGAAAACACATCCAAGTATCCAAAAGAGAACCTCAATTGTGATGCAGTTGAATGTTAAATTGCGATAGTATTGTACTGATTCACCGATGTGCATTTTAGAGTGGAACTTTTTAATGAAACGTTGTTTATTTATAAGATTGTTACTGTTTCCTTTTTAGGTTGCATATTCGACTTATTGGCATTTGATCTAATAGGAATTGTATTGAGGGAATTTGTGTGCATGAAGATTGGATCTGCATTTTTAAGAAAAAAGAGGTTATATTGTATGCAAACGGAAAAATTCTTGCTGAATACAAATACTTTATTGTGAGCTTACATCATAACAATTTCAACAACAGCGAATTGTGATATTGGTTGACTTGAAGCTCGCAGAAAATTACAGATTTAAAGATTACAAATTACAAATTTATTGAATTACAAATTCAATAAATACTGCAAGGAGTGCTTGAATGCATACAGAAAGATTTTGTAAGCATTTGTTTATCTGGGTGGCCGTTTCAAGAGTTCAGATCGTCAGGAGTTGAATGAAGCGCTCAGACGTTCAGATTTCCAAATCCTCCACCCCGGCCTCCATAACTCTTTATGACGAGATATTGGATGAGTACGGATCCGCTGCCACCTCCCGAGCCGAATCCTTGGCCGCCTCGCATCGTCTTCGACGACATTGAGTCGGAAGAGATGTTGTGCTGGAGCATCGCTTCACTGCCTTTGCTACCACTTCCACCCCAGCTTCTCTGCTGGTTTTGTCCTCTTTTGCTGTCAATAACGTAGACCATTTCTGAAAAATGGTACAGTTTCAAATATTGAGAAGAGAGGCTGATACTTCAAGATGTGAATTGGGAGGTCAACAGTTTCTACCTTCACTGTCCCATTCCCACTTACTTTCACCTTTTGGAAAAACGAGTAGACTAATTTAAATTTTGATATGATTAAGCCTTCCCATCACACCAACGGCTACAGTCCCGTCCACGATTGCAGCAATCGTGAGACAGTAAATCACTATTGATCACCCTATCTCCAATAGCGTACTATTACTTACCAGTTCATATTCATGAACATCGCAGCATCTCCGAAATTCTTGCCTTCGTCATTCAGAGTGAAATTCCTGCTCAAATTCTCCAGAAATCCTTCTCTCGCCTAATAATCTTGGAATTTTTTGGCCCTTCATTCCCAGGCTAATAGGCACTAATGAAATCAATCCTACGAAGACGATGATGGTAATAACGACTCGAGTTAATTGCTGATTTGAAAAACTTCTAAATGCCATATTGGCTGAGTTATGAAATGATCCAGAGAACTTACTGATATCGGTTAAAGGGTTGATTGAGAAGTCGGGCAATGAAATGAATGATGGCAAGCATGCTACGGTCGATCCTTTTATGCATGGTTCTGAGTCGAATTCAAAACAAAAGT